AATTATTATTTAGTTATGTGAATATTTAATTAATTTAAATTAAATTATTCAAGAATTAAATGTTGTCCGTATAAGATTTATAATTTGTTAATATTAGTCTATCGCTATAATGTACAATGTAGGCGTAATATACACGACGTAATACATAGAAAACGAGGAAATAAAATCAGCTGTGCAGTAAAAATCAATATCACCTGATTTGAAAAAATCAATAACATCCATGCAGATAACAGAGGAGAAAAATTTTTCTAAAACCATCGATATATATATATATATATATATATATGTATATACATATATACAAATATATATAAGTATACAGGGTAGACCATTTTAATCAATCCATGCGAATATCTCAATAACTGAGCTCGATAGACAAAAATGTTTCAGACAAAAGTTGCATGGTCTCAAGGGGGCCACATGATGAAAATATGGACATGATCTTGAGTGACCTTTTCAAGGCCAGGTCAATGTGATCGATGTTTTCTTAAATCGAACCTCCCATTTTTATTGCATATTTTTGTAGCTTATCTTAAGAGCTTTTTAAAACACTATAATAAAGTATTTTTTCATTAAGTGCTTTTTGAGCTACACGCTCCTAAAGTTTTGACATTTAAATTGGGGACACCTTGTATACCCAGATAGCCAAGTTTGCCCGATCACGTATTGCAAATTATGCATTACATATTATATCGGTAGAACTCTGGCAGCAGCGGCGCATGATTTGCCATTTCAATTAGTGCCTGCAGAAATGTACATGTTATCTGCAAGCACGGCGTAACGGCAGAAATGCTGCAAAAATTAAGCATAAGCTGTCATTTCAAAAGATAACAGCAAAAACATAGCAGAAACACAGAGCATGATCTGTTATCATAAAATAATAGTAGAATCACAGCAATATTAAGATATGCTGTATCAAGTTACAATTCTTTTGTTTACCGCTATATGACGTATCTATCTTGTAATCAAGTTTCTGTTATAGGCAAATATAAAGATCGCAAAGCGCCGTTAACAAGATTAAAAATGTGTAATCCCATACAGCACAAAACATTGCAACAACATTGCAGCAACATTGCAGCAACATTGCAGCAATATTGCAACATTGTAGCAACATTGCGGCAATGTTGCTGCAATGTTCTGTGCTCTATGGGATGGCTCTTGCACACAGAACGCGGCGACACGGCAAGCGTTGCCACGTCCTGTGTCCTGTGTACAGGAGTCATAATATCTATTTTTATCAGCTTAATTTCTGAATTCTAACAAAGGACACAGAATATTAAACTAAAAGTTTGGAAACCGAGTGGATAATTAGAAAATATATTGACTTCTTGAAACAAAATAAAGAGTTCAATTTC